TAAAAAAGAATAAAAATGTTAGAGTTTCCTCCAAAAATATATAGACACACACAAATGAAATACAGCTTATAAGAGATGTATCTTAGTTTTTAAACTTACATCCTTGCTCTTCAGAACTTTTGAAAGTTTCTTGACAGTAGATTTGTTCAATTCAACATGTCCTTTGATTTCTTTACCATAGAAGGTTTATTGTTGATCCTAATAAAATGACATTTTTGACTGTTCAATATTTTCTTTTTCATTACAATCTTTCTAGTTATCCATTGGTCAGAACTTCTGTTTTCTTCATGTTGACATGTAATCTATATTGAAGGTAGTGGTCTTTGATCTTCTTCAGTTAGTACTTCAAGTAGTCTTCACTTTCTGAAAGCAAAGTTATGTCATCTGAATAATGCAGATTACTGTTGAATCTTTCTTCTATCCTGATGCCACATCCTTGTTCATATAGTTTAGTTTCTCAAATGATTTGTTAACTATACAGGTTGAATATGAAGAAAGATACAGCCTTGATGCATACTTTTCCTGATTTTAATCCAGGCAGTGTTCTCTTCAAACAATTACTTCTTGGTCTATGTATAGGTTTTGTGTGTCTTGGGATTTCTATCCTTCTCAATGTTGCCCATAATTTTTGATGCAACATCAAAAAAAGAAAAATAATTTATGAAACACTCTACAACATGGATGAATCAAGAAGAAATAATAGTTGGTGGTCTAAGTTACAAAAGGACTACTATAGTATATATTTACTATGGAAAAAATGAAAGGAAGGTTTAAAAAGATAGATCATTCTTGGATAGTTTCTGATTATAGGAAAGTAAGAAGATGAGAATAAAAATTTAAAAATAGGTAAATTGGGTGAATGTGAATGCAATATATAAGAATATATTGACCAAATCTTGAAATTAATTAATTATGTTAATCAATTGCAATTAATGTTATAAAGCAAAATAATCCTGAATGATTACGTGGAAAACCAGTATGATTTGCAAACTTTTATTCAAACAGATGAAATATGTAAATTTGTGAAATTTGTGTAAAAAAAAGTTTGTGAAAACGTGTAAATTTGGAGTTGATCACAAAATCCAAATGAGTGTTTTCATTTTGTCAAAATTACACATTGGATCCTAAGTATCAATATTTTAAGTATTAGTGCTTCTCAATTGACAAATTCAGAATAATTACACTACTTAGTAACTCCAAATAGCAATTTTTTTGGTGATTCAGCTTTAAAAATATATTGTTAACTTCAGTTTTCCGCACTTTGGCACTTAGAATTTTAAATTTCAAATTTAACTGAACTCCACTAGCAAATATTAAAACCCCAAGCATTAATTAGGCAAAAGGTCAGCAAATGAGAGGAAGATCTTCAATGGGATGGATTGACAAAATGACTTCCACAATGGACTTGAGTAGGGCAGAGATCAGGAGGCTGGAGAAGAACAGAATCAAGATATAGATTTGTTGTTCACTGTGAGTTATCACTGACTTAATGGCACAAAATTACAACACAACAAACATTAAGAGGTTTTGTTCAAAGATAAAAGAAATCTCATTTTAGTAGTTTGAAAAGTTCTCTTTGCTAAACTGTCAGGATAAATATATGCACCTTAATTGACATAATCTACTATTGCTCCGCTAAAATGCATGTAGATATGCACAATCATAAAATTATCAACAAATTTATAACAAATTATAAATTAATACCAAAATATTTTAATAAGAAAAAATATGTATTTATACATACTAATACACACAAAGAAACTACTTACTAGAACTTCCCAAAACAAAGGCACCACCATGAATGAAAATAACAGCTGGTCTCTTTTTTTCTGACTTCCTCTTTGGCAAATTCAAACGTACTGGGATGCCACTAAGTGTTGTATCAATCACTGTGATGTTTTCATCTGAAATTGGTTGTGTATATTCCATGTCCAATAGCATAGAAAACAATTCATCATATCTCATAAGTCCTAGATTTTCAAGTAACAGAGCCTGCCAAAACAAAACACAATTTAAAAGAGAAAACATTTTCACTCTTAATAGCAAAAAAAAAAAGAAGAAGAAGAAGAATAAATAACAATAAACTATAGTATCAATTATCCATTCTAAAAGAGACTTTTGGAGAAACTTCAAATATATAGTGCTTAGAAACAAAGAAGCATATTTTAGAGTAGTAAATTTATTGCCCATATATTTTATAGCAAGTCTAGTTAATCTTTACTTTGTAACTTTTACCTGGCATATTATGTGAGAAATTAGATTTGTACTTCTTTTTATAGTCCTATTTTTAATGTTATTGCTTTTGTTATTACATTTTGTTGTTGTTGTTCTTATGTATTGTCAAGTCGAAAGTGAATCATAACTGACCCTCCACTGTTTTTCAGAGGCAGTAAATAATCCATTGTACAGGAGATGATCTTTGTCCTGCGATTAGCTGGTCAGATTGTTCCACATGACTTTAGGTTGGTAGCACAGTACTTTATTACTAGGTGATCAGAGTTCCCACATACTTTGATCTTATTATATAAGTCATTCAACTTCATTTAAAAATTGAAAATCACCTGGTTATCATATAACACCCTTTCGGAACTTCTCGGTTGATCTTCCTCTGGGTTTCTAAAGCAGTAATCACACAGGAAGAGATTGTTCATCTTCTCCTGAAGAGAATTCCAACCTTCCAACCAAGGTGTGACTTTTGGATTATAGGGTTAATCCTATGGATTACATCATTTTGGGGGAGGTTTTGGTTTTGGAGTGGGTTGTTTTTCTTTTTTTACTTTATTTTCTTTTTTTAGATAATATTTTTAGTTTATATTGGTTTACTTACAAAGTTTGTATACATTGTTTTTCACACTGAATCTTTCCCATTCCCTTTTTCACCCTTCCCTCCACCCATCAAATTGTGCAACCCTATGATTAATCCTTGGAGAGGGAGGTCATGCTTGGGAGGGGGAGGGACAGTGCAAGAGAGCAAGATCACTGATGTTGTTGTTGTCGTTGTTGTTATGTGCCGTCGAATCGCTTGCGACTCATAGCGACCCTATGTACAACAGCCCTAA